TTCTCAGGGTGCTCGACAATGTGGTGGTGTAACGGAGTGTCGTCTGGCAGTCGCACGCGCAGCCCCATACTAGCAACTCATGCGAATTCCTGGCTGATTGTACGGCAGGTGTTGATGTGCATCTTGCTATGGAAAGAAAGATCGACACGAAGTTAAAGTCTTGAAGCGTAAAACCTAAATCGAAGGACTGTAGTGTTGTGTAGTGCTTGATCGATTTTGGATGTGGCTTGTTTGTATTGTTATATACAATAACGCTTTCCTCACCCGGATGTTATGGATTCTTTACAGAGCATTGGTTATGTGGAAATATTGATTTTTTACAAGACTACTAAGAGATACGTAACTAATTATTACTACTACAAAATTTATCAATAACTTATATCAAAAATATTTATATTTCTTTCTTAGCAAGTCGTAATCACATAACAGCTTTACAATAATGACACAGATAGCAATTTTTTGCAATTGCAGAAATATTTTCAACAACTATCTGCTTTCCTTTTGGTGATAAATGTAAAATAATTTTAAGCGGCCAATTATATTTGTTTGTTGTTGGGACTTTATTTTTATGCTAATAAAGCGTAAGGATGTTAATATTTTATTGGTCTGATGAGATCTGTATTATTACTTAATATGAGCAGCCAAATATACACCTTTGAATTGATAACTCGATTTCTTTAGATTTCGTTTTAAAAGGAAAGATTAATATTTTGAATATTATATTTTTATTATTAAAAAATCGACTTAAAACTTGTCTGAATATATTAGAAATTATTTTTCTCTTGTGAAAGTTTAATGACAAAGTCATTGACTGAAGGTTTTCCTTGAAATACCTGTAATCACTAACGGTCTGTTTTATAGTGTCACAGTTCAATGCTCTGATTAACTTGGAGAATACTAATTAAGCGGAAACGCAATTGCATATCTTGCCTTCTGTTGTATGTACAGATAAGGCATTCTTTTAATTTTTTTTAATAGTTATAGTCTAGTCACCTCTATAGTCTAGTACCTCTTTGGACAAATTTTTTTAGCAGTCTCGGAAAAATATGAACGAGGTGTCATTCGATTCAGAATGGCATGTAGATGATTTTTGAAAAAAAACAAGTTTTGCTTGCAAAAATTGCAAAATTTATAAACAATTAAATAAAAAAGGGGTTTAGTTTTTTGCAAATATCTCAAAAACTAATTAAGATTTTTCAAACATAAAAAAAAGATATAAAAAGAGAAGGAAATTTCCTAAAAAAAGTGGTAGCTGCCAACGGCCTTGGGGATCTGGGCGGACGGGATTGGATAAGCGTGGACGGCGCCGACGCGTCCCCCGTCCCATTTTTAACTTTTGAAATATATAACTTTTGAAATTTTTGCAAGCAGGACTAGATTTTTTTAAAATCATCTACATGCCATTCCAAATCGAATGACACCTCGTTCATATTTTTCCGTGACTGCTGAAAAAAGTTGACCTAAAAGGCACTTGTTGACTAGACTATAGAACTATTTTATATTTTTACTTTTAATATGTATTTGAAAGAAAACTTAATGATATTGTGCAAAAACTCTACGTTCTACTTCTTAAAAGTCGCTTGATTCGTCTATCATAAAATAAATCAGTAATCCAATGTTTTAAATTACAGCTTTATGCGAAATATAGGCGAAGCATCTTTGTTTTTGTCCTTTTATGATGTTACAAGCGCATATCGAAACTTTAATCAAATCTAAATAGTAAGTACTACGAGTAGTAACATTTTCAACTGGTCATCGATTCTACGCAAAAGGGCACTCTCCGTATATAGTATTTCGAGCAACTGTCGATCTTGCTACCTTTAACCTATTGCAACTTGATTCTGTGGGAAAACTCTAATTTCATTAAATCTCTAAATTATAGTCATTAGTTCATTCGTTATAAGTTAAAGGTTTTTATGCTTTTTGATATTTGATAATTTCAATCAAATAGAAAACACGAGAATATTCCCATCGAACATTTTTTGTTTCAAAAAATCTTCTTTAACTTTGTTTTGATTTAAAAATATTTAAGCAAATAACATTACAATATATTAAAATGCATTATTTCAACATGCTATACGATCATGGCCTTATGATGGCCCACTATTCACTATTTACTATTTAAATAAAGTCATAAAGGTGCTATTAATTTATACAGTCACAAGATAACATCTTTAAACGCACGTACAGTCAAGGATATAAATTGTTTTATCTTAACAGTAGCTTTTAATGGTCTCTGCATAAAAACTAAGCACACGTTAGACTGAGTAACTGTAATTAGTATCTGTGTTAAGCGATTATACTTGACTATGTAAATATATATATATATATATATATACATATATATATATATATATATATATATATATATATATATATATATATATATATATATATATATATATATATATATATATATAGGATCTAGCTATTTATACATATAATAATTTTAAATAATAAAATACAGATTCACTAAAAACAATGCAATACATGCCTAAGTATAAGTTTGATTCGAGGATTTTTATAATATTTTTTATGCAATATAAGATATTAGTGAGCTGGCTTATTAGCATATTGTGAAATACTCTAACAAATTATCTAACATAGTAATTCATTGAAAAACAACATTTATAATTTAGGTATTTTCCTTTGAAATAGTGAAACACTATATTTTCTACTTAGCTGTCGAATTCATAAGCAAATAGCTTATAATTAATTGAAGCTGACTTTGTGATTGCTGATTTACGCGGCCGCGGTGCTCGCCCGCGCGTAACGATGTTACTACGCCAGGTACCGGCTCACCGCTACGCGTTACGATTTGACATCACGCTCATAAACGTATTAGACCGTCAAACTGCAGTAATATGCATTTAACATACATACAATTAAAAATATCTTATAATGTTTAACTATCTGCAACTTTTGTCGCTGAAAAATTGTTTAATATATTTTTTGTATACATATAGGAAGTTCAATGAGATTAATTTGACCAGATTCAAGTATATGTATCTGAACTGATACTTCTAGTTTGAATCGCAATTTGTTGCCTTTTGTTTGTAGAACGCACTTTTTATTAGTATAATTAATTAAAAGTTACCTATGCCTAGACAATGTTCAGAAAATAATCGTTTGATATATTAGATACAAAATATACATATTTCTAACCAAATGCATATATGTTTATAGTTTGTCTTTATATATTACTACAAGTATTTAAATGTATTTTTCTATGGATTTCATTTTTTTCTAAACTAAAAAATTCATATCACGTTAAAGTAGAAAATGCTATTGAATAGCTTATAACCAAGTAGCTTAGCCAAGTAATTGCAAAGTGTTAGTATTAACGTCTCTTTGTAAACTGTTCAAGAACAAGATTAAAATTCTATGAGCGTATGTGCTAGATATAAATAAAGTTAAAGCAACATTGTGAGATCTGGCAGAGATAATGCGAATGAAGTTTCGAGCACAGGGTTTGAAGCGCAAAGGTGCCATCAAATAATAATACCTTATACCGCTTGCCAAATACGAGTACATGCCTACACAGAACACATAGATCAAGGACTGCGTTTGTTATTTCGGTGTACAATGCAAACGATTACGCGGATTGTTGGGTTAAGGTTTCATAATTATATCTATAGAATCTATTTATCTGTAGATTAAATAACCAGCGGAATCTTTTATCTTATTGAAGATCTTACCTCATTAATTCATAAGCACGACATTGTCTTGTCACATTCATCATTGTGTTTCATTCATTGTGTTTCATTCATTTCAATTCATTAATTTATTTACAGTTTACATAAAAGCATTTTAATAGAGTAAGCTATAAAACATAATAATTAACATTTTTGTTCACTTAAATACTAATAAAACGGTATTCAAATTAATTACACTATATTTAATATCATTAAATATGTATGCTAATCAAAAAGCTTTATATTATTCTCAGACGAATAAAATACTTTTTTATTGATCTGAGATATTATTACGTATATTTGTATCTTAGATAAATAAATATAAGAAACGATACAATTCCATGTTATAATCATAATTATTAATGAAGTTTAATAATGTTATTAGAAGTTTTATATAGATATGGACATCGTCAATAAAATGGTAAAAGCTTACGCCAATTATTGCGCAATCCACATGATGGAAACAGATTAAGATCAGGAAGAGGCGCTATAAGTACAAATGACCTAGGTTATCAAGATCGGCCACATTAGTTGCATAAAACACCCCGGTTGCACAATCGTGACCAATTCACTCTCGTTGCCTGGCCGCCATTGTCGCGCACGCGCTTTACTGAGAACGTTCCCGCCAAAACGGGGTAAAAAGCGCGGGAACCACGTTAAAACAATAATGGCCGACATCACGCTCTGAATGTTATCTATTGAAATGGTTGCATTTACAACATTGCAAATATTCTCATTCTTTGTTTTGTAGCACTTTGTTTGGATTTGATTAATATATTCGTATTTGTAAAAAATATGTTAATCTGTTTTAAAATTCTAAGCTTAATTTTTTTAGGGCGTATATCAATATAATATAGGTATATAAAATTTAGTGATATGCTTAAATTAGTCTGTACGTCTTTCTTTGGTGAAAGATCCAATTGTCGATTAATAAAAAAAAACATTGAATAGCTTTCTTTTTGTTTGGAAGAGAAACGGAAAATGCTAACCATAGCTAATTGAAGTTTATAAATAATTTGTTATTTAAACATCGAACAAATTACCTACTACCAAAGAATTTGTGGCATCCATCAGAGTCGTTTATTCACAAACAAACAAACAAGCCTCATTAGTAATTATCTTTTCATTCAACCGTGACACCTTTTATCCTATGTTTTATGCCTTAGTGATCAGAAATTAAAAATAAGAATTATATTAAATATAATGGTATAATTAAAAGCACCTAGAAACATGGATTCAAGTGTAATAGCCAAGACAAAGATTCCATAATAACTTTTGCGAAATAAAATATAACAATATTGCAAGATGGTAAATGGAAATTATGTGTTGTACGGGGACAGGCCATCCTCAGATTCAGAAATCGTGGATGATCACGTCCAGACACGTACCGCTGAAAGGAAACCAAAGAGAAAAGCGAGATCAAACAATGAACGTCAGCATTCCCGAAATATGACGGAGCTGGATAATGAGACAGATGCTGTTAAATTTGAGAAAAAAATAAAAGAACCGAGGCTTTTACGGTATGTTCCAACAACTGAAGTTGAGGAACATTTTGTTACTGAAAAATTTGAGACTTTTGATTTAAAACCTCCCGATGAACCAGTAAAACGACACGCTTTCACTAAAAAGCCTAAAAATCCCACTGATGGGTCGATAAATTATGCATATTCGCGTTCGAGTAGCAGCTGTAGCTCTCCCAACTTGCCAACAATATCGGAACATGTAGAGCAGTACGGAACTTATCGAGTGCGGTCACCGCATTCACCACCTCCCGATAATTTAATTAATGGATATGATACGAAACTCGACAAATATTTCTCTAAGCCAAGGGAAGTGAAAGCCTTCACTGCCAAGGTAGGATATAACGTAAGTTATACGATCAATAATAATACCTTACGTATTCATTGATTATAATAAAATTTTATCGTCCTCGAAAAATATTATTGAACTTACTTATAAATGAAAAGATATTTAATTAATTTCTATAGTATAACATAACATATCAATAGTTAATGTATAACATGGTAGAGTATAATTTAAAACAGTTATTCATCATCAATCATAACTAGAGTGACATTCTTTCTAAAATTTAATGCCGACGTTTACACACACAAATACCTAATTAGAAAAATTATAGGAAGAATTTTAACGAATTCATTTCAATCTATCATTATCTTTAACTTTGTGTGTATGTGTGTTTAAAATTTATTATATTATATCTTTAAAGATTTATTGATTAAAAGATTCTGAGAAATTTGATCGGCATCTAATCATTTTAAACGAATTCTGAATAAATTTTAGCTCGATAAATTAATTTTTATGCTTACAAATTCTATTTATAAAATTAATTATAAAATGTTAAGTTTTGTTTTAAGCATTGAACTTTTTTATATTTTTAAGCGTCTTATTAATGCAATAATAGATATGACAATTATTCACATTCGATACAGATTTTTATAATTTTTATAATAATGGTGGATCCAACAGTAAGATTTTTTTAACATGAAAAAATAATTAAGTATTGTTGATTACTTATAGAATACATACCATTACCATTTGAGTTTTATTGAAACTTGTGTATCTTATTATTAAATAAAACTATCTTTTCGGATTATTTCGCGGATTTATTTTGATTTTTGGTTCCCGACGTTTCGAATGCTTTACAGCATCCATGGTCACGGGAGAGACTGAGGTGTTACATGTCTTAAAGATATAGTTGTTACAGACAGCCTACCCACAATCAACAAAATGAAAATTGCACCAATTACATATCCATACCATACCAATTAAATACAATATTTTAACTTTAAACATTTTTATAATTTTAATTATAATTGAATATGGAAAAGTATTTATTTAATTTTTGCTATTATTTTTATAATTATTGCAATTTTAAATTATTAATTAGTAATCTATATTTAGTGTTGCCATTATTATATTTATAACCATAAAGAAAATATAAAATATAGTATTAATTATTTAAGCCATATAATTGTTCAATGTGTAATTTAAAAAGTTAAAATTAATTAAGGATTATAATTTTAATTTAGTTTGCTATTATTTAAAAACAACGTACTAAGCAACACTATTAATATATACTTTTACAAATGAAAAATGAAAAATATCAATCTGATAAGCTGTCATTTTGATCTACACAGTATGAACTTACTACATCTGCCTGTCTGTTATGTTTATATTTATTATTTGATTTTATTATATTAATAACAGGATCCCATGACGATGGTAGTACCCAGCCATCTTCCCTATTGAAATTTGGATGTTTTTTAATTTCTATGGCTTCTCGAATCATTCTAGGGCGATATCGGTTTTCTTTCGCCAGGATTTGAGGTCTATCGGGAACCAAAAATCAAAATAAATCCGCGAAATAATCCTAAAAGATAGTTTTATTTAATAATGTCAAACATTCGCGTAAATCTAAGAAAGTATTCTTGTGTATCTTATTTATAAAATTTAAATAACAAAAATTATATCAACAATGGGGATAAAACCGTAGGGTAAGGGTAAGAGGAGTGTGGAAAATGAAGGAGAAGTTCACCCATACCTACCATATTAACTAGATTACTATCCGAAGCGATAAAAAAAATCATTCAAACGGTGCCATAAAAACATCGTGCTTAATGTTGACGTTGACATATTTTTAATCTTAAACCTGCATTTTATTAGGCTTTACTTACCTAATATCCAGGTTTTCATAACCGTCAGCGTGTCACGCGATGACGAAATCTGGGTCAGTCATCCCAGCTTTCTCTAAGGTCAGGGGGTCCCGTTGATGTGTCATCTCCACCTTAAATTACTTAAAAAACTAAAACGTTACGCATAAATTTTACTACGTTCTAATAAGATTGTTATTAAAAAATGTGACATAGTGACATAACTTTATTGCTATTTGCACATACATTTGTTGAACTGAATTGTTAAATAACTAGTGTATCACCCTCGCTCGTCCCTAGTTACATTTTAACGTTTAGTATAGATTTCTCAGAGATGAGATACTTTTTAGCAGTAAAAAACTTTTTAACAAAAAAATTAAAACCGACTTCAAACAAAAGCACTAAAAAGTAAAAAATTACTGATTGGTAGTTTTCATTTACTATACATACCTAATCAAATATTTTCGAAATCGGTGCCAGCCCATACAAAGCAAAGCACACCGACTTCGAAAATATTTGATTAGGTATGTATAGTAAATGAAAACTACCAATCAGTTATTTTTTACTTTTTGAAGTCGGTTTTTATTTTTTTGTTAAAAAGTTTTTATTTTTCAATTTTTAGTGTAGACAGTAGTAGCAAAGTAAGAATTCTAACGTGTTAGGCTTGTCAAATCAAACAAAATAAGCCCAAACTCAAAGTATCTACTATTAGCCGTTGAAGAGTTCCACCTTTCCTTCTGGCCTTACCATCAGATCAGGTCAACAATACGGAACTAGAGCACAACACAACAAAACGGAAATAGAAACACTTGCAGAGTTTCAAGTCAATATGACAATTAGAAGTAGGTTTTATTATTAGCTATTTTTCCACCCTTATTTTTTACTATACGTATAGATTAATTAATAATAATAGTTCTCAGACGAATTGAAATTCTTTGGTAAAAACGACTTCTCCACAACTTCACATACATATACATAACATCAAAAGATATAACCGTCGACTAAATATTTTAAATAATCCATTGGTAGTAAGATTAGCGTCATATTAGGTGACTATTTACAGGTGGCTTAATGTAATCTTTATAGAAGAAATTAAAGTGCCATTCATTGCATAACATTTGAATATTACTATACTAATAAGATGCTGTGTTAAATAAATATCTCAGTTTATATATTTTGACTGTTTCACGCTTATTATGTTAATAGAAGTTCTTAAAAGTCTCGCTTAACAGTTCTATGCAATAAAATTTTATAAGACGCGACAGTCAACACTTATTTACATTCTTGACATGACCTTTGACTCAATGAAACTAAAGCTTATTTATGAAAATTATTTGGTTATCAATTTACGTGTGTTACGTTATTATTATGATTCCTGCTATTTCTCTGTTCCTTAATAGTCTGAAAGATATTTTTACTAGAGGAACTGACATATTTATTACGCATCAAAAACCAAAATATTAAATCAGTAAAGATAAAATTTGATACTGTTGCGAAGAGAAAATTAATCTATAAATTAAGCATTGAATAAAATGACACAATTGTCTTATTTTCTTTTCTTTTTTTTTTGGTACAGGGCTCACATCCAGACAGCCTCTACCGGGTCAGTGGCAGCAGCGCCGGCGGTGCGGACAAAACAGTTAGAGCGTTGCGTTTGCTGCGATGGCCGCTCGCCCTCGTCACTGTGTGCGTCGCGCTTGCAGCATTCGTCTATTTCCTTATGCCTGGTAATTTTTTGAGTCTTATTTATACAATGTAGTATTTATAAAAACAATCAAGTGTTTATTTTTACTCTGAAAACTGTATATTAATATTATTGATATAAAATTATGAAGAAAAGTAGCAATTAGGCCTACACTATTTTGAGTTAAGCTTGTGTTGCTCTTACATAATCTAATATTTTTAATGTAATTTTATTATATCATCATTAAAACCTAATAACAATGCGCTTACAAAGGTTAAAACTGTTAGTAAGAGCAACTCTTTTTCAACAACATAAGTTACATAATTTAGCTTTGGTGCTTCAACTGCAAACTAGCAATATAAGTGATTTAATATTCTTTTAAATATTGTGTTAATTCGTATCGGAATGAATGTACTTTCACATAACATTTTTTAGCTTTTCAATTATATGCTGTTAAAAATGATTACATCCATTAGTAATGTATCATCTCATCTGATGAGAATGGATGCCTGTTGAATTACTCTACAGTTTTATAGAAATGTTATACAAAGGCAATAACATTTCTAACGAGTGTTATTTAATATAAAAGCCCACTAATCGTTGTTCTTTATGTATCTGTCTTTAACTTTCTACATATTTATGGCTATTTTAAATTTATATGTTCTTGGGTGTTTTTTAAAGCTTTTGTATTACCTAGTTTAATAAGTTTTATGATCTATTCAATAAATAATACACATTCATTCAAATCATAATATAAACACATATTATGTATTTTGTAAACAGAACAAAATTTGCATACTCTCTGTGATATATAATTTGACTAATTAGAACTTTTCTAAGATGAGGTGAGCAAATCAAGAGTTATGAAATAGGTATTTTATGTAATAATTGTAATTACTTTCCATGTAACAGGAAACTGATGCTATTTTCTTTGATTTACGTAAAATTGATCAAACACCACACGGGTGGTCAGATGTACATATAATATGTATTTAATGAACAGGTATTCACATCGAGTGGAATGAAATTCAAATTAGTATTCATATATAATAATCCGTAACTAACTTTTGGCTAACATTTTACTGCAAACCGTACGGTTGCTTTTATGAGGTTCTGGGTTCGAGTCCTAGGTCGGGCTGAAAGAATTACTGGATACTAGATTTCTTTGTGTCATGAAATACTCAATAACAGCAAAATATTTAGGGAGTTGTCGGTATGTAAGCCCTCCGAGAAACACGCAAAACCGGATACTGGAATGTGAGAGACTAAATAATAAAGAGTGCACTTGTGAATTATAATAGATGGCTAGCCTAAGTGCAATTAAATAATATTGTGGAACATACTTTTTTAAGTAATTTTCTTAATCATCCACTTATTTCCTTTTTCTTTTTATTCAGAAGTACGAGTACATATAAAGTAATATATGTACCTAAATATACCTATAATTGAGTAATAAAGTTAACAGTTACTCTGAAAAGGTTCAGTGACATTATAAATACTTTAATGTAGAAAGTTACAATAAAAAATACCGATAAAATTAGCGAATATTAACACGTTATCTCCTGTTTTAAACAATCTGTACAAATATGTCGCGAGTATTATTAACCCAAACCATTTAAGCCAAGAAATTCTTATGATATCATTTTGCAGCTAATAATATCTGCAAAAATATGATAATTACAAGAATGAGACGCTATAGGGCCGTAAATAACTTTCTAACCAATTATAGTCTTCATCTTATGCGCACTTTGTTAGCTACGTACCTTTTGCAATGCCTTTGATCTTCATAAATATTCATTCACTTTCTCGTCCTGCACGCGAAGGGTTAACTACCACTTTTAAAATCAGTTAAATTATAATAAAACAATATTTTTTCGATTATCGTTCAGACAAGATTGCGCAGTCGGATATCCCCATATCTTAAGATGCTTTGAATTGTCTCTTTTTGTATAGTATTGCCGAAATGAAAGTTGGCCTCTCAACAGCTATTGTGTATCTTTACTGAACGTCCATAATACATGAGTTTTACACAATGAACCCTCTGATCTCACTTTCTTTTATGATGTGTACATTATTATTTTACTAATTATGGCAATTCATATCAACTTTAACAAACATGTCCAACTATAACTAATGAATCATTGGTGCTGGAAGTACTTTAAAGAAAATAACAACAAGGTTATTATTGGAAACTCATTCAAATGAATGCTATTTAATACTAGGTATATTATCTAATGTCCTTGCTGTTGATAAGTAAATGATTGCTTTTCATTTCGCCTTCTAAGTTATATAATATATAATCGTATTAATAGGACTATGTAAAAACCAGCCTGAGGGTGTTTCCAGTTATATAGACTATACTAGCATTGCCCGCGGCTCCGCCCGCATTCAGATGACCAAAAACCAAATTCCTAGGTTTTACAGATTAGTATACTCTTACATTGCAGTTTTTGCATTTTTTCTCAGAAATAAAATATTTTTCCGCGGTTAAAAGTATCCTTTATGTTAACTCGGATAACCAGCTATCACCATACCAAATTCCATCAAAATCCTCTTCCTTCCAGTGGTTTTTCTGACAGACAGACAAAAATTCTAAAAACTATAGATTTGGCCTTTGTGTCGATAATAATGTTTATTTCAATAAGATTTACAAAAAAATATTTAATGTACAGATTCGGCTTAGTTACAATTTTATTATATGTATACGAGTAGATTAACCGATTTCTTACAACGTCAAAAATACTGACAAAGTAATTAGGCGAATATCCCACTAAATATTATGTAAGAAATTTACGCAATAGATATGCATTTACTCTATTTATCAGAAAATGAGTCTAATTTATATGCAATTAAAATAACAGGTAGGGTAATATCCCCTTGGCTAATTGGCTCACATGTAAAGTGTCTCGCTATAAATCTTAATAGAATTTATGCACTAGATAGAGAAAATTATGTATTAGTCAAAGGATATTTACATGTCTTGTTCATAACAAGGTTAAATAATTTAGTAATTTTATATTATCGAACATTTTGCTTCTAGTAATGGATATACACAGATTGATTTTACATCATTTTATAACCGTGTAATTAACAATAAACTTCATGTCACATAAATTTATTCGAACACCTGACTGTTATTATGTTAATAAGCACATGAACATAGAGATATTTTGGTTTGGATATAATTATATTTTGTTTTAAATTAAAAAGGATTGCACATAAACTCAAGATAAATAGATGATTAAGTATCCACGAAATATAACCAAAGAAAAATTAAGGTAATTCAACATCTAATGTTTAAAGAAACTTTTTTAACCATTCCTTCTAAATATATCAAACTAGAATTGCCCGCGGCTCCGCCCGCGTTCCGATGACCAAAAACCAAATTATTAGGTTTATTTTTATTTATTTATGAAAAGTAACACACACTGATATGTATATCAATAACTAGTGTACATAACATTCACCAACAAATACATGTAAACACTAAGGGGAAAAGAATACATCATATGAGTTGTGAAATATGTCGATGCCAGGCAGAGCTCGAGATATTTCATAGCACATATGCGAGCTATGGGAGATTGCTTACCGAGATGCGTTCTAGCGAAAGGTATATGGAATGTTTTTTGAGAAGAATTGCAATAGCGAGGATATCTACTTGGTGCTGATAGGGGAATTCGTTCAAGCAGCTTGCTGCACGCGTTGTACGCAGGATTCCAGATGATACTGGCAAACTCAAGGCAACTTCTCACAAACACGTTGTACAAAATAATTTTGGTTCTACTTGTGTTTAGGTCATCGGCGAAGAGTGAGCACTTACAATGTTTTATCTCAGTGGTGATGTCATGCGTCTATCTGTTGTCCCTTGTCTACCTGTGCTATTAGATCTGAAGTGAAGTTTGACAAGTTAGTTTGAAGATGGGTACGATTCGTGCTGGCAGCGGCTTCGGATTATTTGGAATTCTAAATAGTCCCGAGGGTTGTTGTACTTACGGAATGAAGATTGTCTTTTTCTTTCATTAACTTAATTAATTTTGAATTGAACCAAACAGGGTATTTTGCTGACTGTGACTTACGTTTAGGAACTAATTTATCAATTATCTTATAGAGATGATTATAAAAAACTTCAACCATAGCATCGACATTTTTACACTCTGAAAATATTTGTAACCAATCAATATTCTTAATTTCCTTTACAATAGGAATATAATCTGCTTTAAAGTAACTGTAATCGATGCGACCTTTGGATCTTAGGAAGCATGCGTGTAAAGTCAATTCTTATAAGCAAGGTGAGTAAATCAGGAGGTTTTACTACCGTAATATCAGTAAGGTTACTTAATACTAGGTCCAAGTGTCTATCATCACAGTTACCTATACAATTAAATTGATGTAGATTGTTTATAGACATAAAATCAATTAATGAGTGTCCGAGGGCATTATTGTAATTACACGGAGACATATATGTACAGTTATCATTAGCACACCATTTGATAAAACCCATATTGAAATCCCCCAATACTATTAAATCATCAACGTGGTTAGTCACGTTGTCCACGTTTTCCAGAAACTTATTGAGAAACTCATGCTTGACTGGAGGAGGTATATAAACTACACAAAGCCCGATCCTCTTTTTTATTTGTCTATTATTAGTTTCTAACACTAGCCATATGCACTCAGCATCGCTTGTCTCCCAACTAATAACCCGAAAGGAAGGTATCTCTCGTGAGATAGCAACCAGAACGCCCCCTCCATCGCGTTTAGACTGATTGGAACATGCACGATCTTTTCTATATACGATATAACGCGAATCAAATAGTTCGTTATCACGGACACTAGAATTCAGCCAAGTCTCGGTAAAAGCAATAATTTTATAATCCGTAGTCAAGATATTCTTAAGCACATCGTTGGTTTTAGTTCTCAATCCACGCACATTTTGATAATAGATATCGAAGCCTGTAAAGATGTAAGAGCCATAACGTTCACTTTATAATAATTACTATTTAGACAATAAGCTTAAGACTATCTTCACTCTTTATTAGTAGTGCCTGGCTAAATTCATCCTTCCGTGTATAAATTTTGCCATTTCTGATCCATGTGAAGCGATATTTCATTTGCTTGGCTTTTATGCGCGCGGCGGCGTGCAAAGATTTGCTTCCTGGAGTTAAATGTTCCGAGACATATATAGGTGCACGTGGTCCACCGATTCCTAGGTGATGCGAACTTAATTTATCAGTAGGGTTTTTTGTTAAATTGCGCTACAGCAGCCAGAAAAGCATCGCGGTGTTTTGTCGTACGGAGTTTGACGATGACAGAGCGTGGCTTGTCAGAGTTTTTGTTTAACTTTGCTACACGAGTTACATGCTGAATGTCGTCCGAGGATAAAGGGTTTTGTACGACTTGTCCTAGCTGTACCATAGTATTAACCAAATTCTCTGTCCTATGCTCAGGTATACCGTTTACCTCGACATTACATTCTCTCAAATGGGATTCTACGATATTCAACCTAGTGGTGAGATCCTTAACCGATGCATTCAGTTGATCGTTTTCTTTTTTAGATTGTTGATAATAGTTGATTTTTCTGCCATTGCCGCTTTCATTTCTTCAAACTGTGCGTTTATAAAAGTCATACAATCGTGGAATCCCGTTATTTGTTCATTAATTGTGTTTAGTTGACTTGTGACTAGTTCTCTAATCGTGATTGACAGTTCTTGTTTTATTATGCCGCGTAGGTTGCTTTCTGTCAAGTTGGATGTTCTGTCGGCATCGGTGCTGGCAGACATTGTAGGCGTTGGTGGCTTGCTAAGTTTTTTTCGAATGGTTATATTTGAATCTGTAGGTTGCTCTTCGTTAACAGATTCATTGCTGCATGTCAAATTTGTGATGGCTGCCCTGACAGGTGTGTTGGTATTTCCTGTCTTAGGCCGTTTACTACAACATTCCGGACATTTCCAACTGGATTTTAACTTCTGGTCCATTTTTTCGAATTGTTTTTGGGATATATTTGCACATTCACAGTCGTACTTCGATCCGCAAGTCGAGCAACTTAGATATTCCTTCTTTGGCAAATTATTTTTGCATCCAGCGCATACTTTTGAATTTAAAGAGCTCGCCATTGTCTATTTTATTAGTAAAGTGTATTTTAATATGTTTTAGAAATGAAAAAAGTCAATTTGATGTTGGGGTTTGAACTCGCGACTAGAGCACCGCAATCCACTATTAGTCTAATTGCGCCACAATAGCAGTTAGTTGTTTAGGTGAAAATCTCTTGTAGTTTGGAGGACAATGTTAAAGTTATTTAGGACTTGAGGGTATATCGATGTTTGCAACAAAAATGTGAAAGATCACTGATACACACTATAATTGTTAAATATTAGTGAGCACTATTATAACTTTTGGAGTTGTTTAACAATTTAGTAACACTTTAGCACTTTTTCCATTATACACATTCTTTTTTAATATTATATAAGATTCAAATAGAGTGCTAATTTTGAGTTCAGATGTTAAGGGCGTAAACGCGTATTAACTCCGTTGCTAATTAATTGTATGTGGTGAAAACACTAACACAGCAAATTTATACTATGATTTACGTTTTTGATAGGCATATAATCACTTTAATCTATTTTATTTTATTTAAAATAAAATTTAAATAGGGAACAACGATTTGACATGTTTACATGACGGGTGGCGCCACCGGATTTACATATTAGTATATTCATACATTTACATATTAGTATATTTAGGTTTTACATATTAGTATATTCTTACATTGCTGTTTTTGTATTTTTTCTCAGAAATAAGATTTTTTCCCAGGGTAAACAGTATCCTATATGTTGACCCGGATAACCAGCTATCATCATACCGAATTTCACCAAAATCCCTCCAGTAGTTTTTCTGTGATGCGGTAACAGACAGACAGACAAAAATTCTAAAATCTATAGATTCGGCGTCTGTATCGATAATAATGTTTATTTCAATAAGATTTTCCAAAAAATATTTAACAGGCCAATACTCGAATTTCAGATTTAATATTTTTGATTTCATCATTTAATATCGTTCTAAAACATATTATGTAATATGTTGTGTGATAAGGATTAATGACGGCCATGTCGCCGTCGTTACGGGGGCGTGCTAGTGACTTCTTGAACCTGTGCTTTCACTGTCTCACCTCCTCATTTCACGAAATTCCTGTGTAGTTGCGTCAAATTGAATACCATTAAAGTGACATCTTTATATTATGACCACATACATAGGTCACGTTAATCTATATGATCTGAACTGACCATTGAAAATTACTTAGTTGTAACGAAATCAACTTCCTTTTGTTGAGAAATACGGCATTAATCATTAATAACCCACTATTTCTTTTCATTATACATAATCAATTTATATTTAACAGTTAAATATTGTAATAAATAATCATTTTTATGTAGACAATTATTAAGATAAAATAGAACATTATTATAAAATATAAATTTATACATTTTAGGTTAAATATTTAAAATATAGATTAACTATGGTTTAAATAGAAATTTTCTTTCTTTATAGTAAACTTGGATACTGAGATAGATATTGTGAATGCAACATACTGGGAAGAGAGTACATCAGAGGCGCAGTCATATAGCAATCATAATAAGCTTCAACAAGTCAATCCGACTAAATCATCAGCAACAGAAAAATCTCGCCGCCCTGGTAAGGATATAATGTCCAATAATTTATTATCATTATAATTTCTTTTGTCACAACATTGTTTGGTATCTTTTGAGTATTAAGCGGGTAGATTTCCAGACACTATATCTATCCTTATTTATTCTTTTGCACATGATTTCATATTTTATATGTTATGTGTTAATTGTCAAAATACATATTAAAAGATGTTAATATGTTATAATCTCACATACAGGTACAAAAACACCAGAAATAGATTTTTACGACTCTGATAGTAAAAACTACGACATAACTTCCATAGTTGATATTGTAACGGAAATAAGTAAAAAACAAAAGCTACCTATACCTCCTGTATTTCCCACCCATATATCCCCTGAGGTTCAATATGGAAATGAAAAAGCGGATTCAGAAAAATCTCGTTCTCCTAAATTACTAAAAGTCACTACAACAATCCCTAGTGACTCTACATTAAAACCTCATATAACACAAAAACCTGAAAAACCATTGGCTATATATTTTAAAGAAGGCAGCGGAATTACAACTACTAGTACAGAAGCACCAATAACAGAAAGTATTACACATGCAGAAACATCGAATGACATAATTCATTTTATAAAGCAGCAAGTAAACAAAAATATTCTTGAATATCCGAAACCATCTCAAAATTTACAACAATTCGAGGCGCCAAATAGGAAGCAAAAGTTTGGAAAAGAATCAGAAGTTCCACCAGAAATACAAGAATATTACGCCAGGCCCATCGCTAGCGAGAATGTTAAGTTTACATCAGGTCATTCAATGCTTTTTGGTATTTCTATAGAAGATGCAGCGAATATGAGATCAACAACTCAAAATTCTCTATACAATACACGAGTGTCACCGACCTTGCCGACATGGCGAGATCGGGATGAGGCAACCACTAAAAAGTACCCTGTTAATAGTAATTTAGATGGTAAGTAATTTTTAAGTATTTTTGTACAAGGTCGCTTGCGGTTTGGTGGATGTAATATTAAACGACAAAGGTAATATCATATTTGTTATATATGTATTTGTAAGCTTTCTGTTAATGTATTTTGGGCTTATTTAGTTATGTTTCTTTTATTTATGTGTTAATCTATATAGATACTCGTACCTTACACTATCGCACATATACAAAATAATATTTAGTCAAATAAGTTAGTGAATGAGTTCATTTCCTGTCCTCTATGCTGAGTGTATCTTATTCTCTTAATTTGAAAGCATTGGATTTTTCATACAAAGTTTCGTACATTATATCGTAAGAACTTTATGTCCAAGAAAGTAAAATATTTAGATATGTAAAAATATATAATTTTTAATACGATGTATCCCTTTCCAATTACTTTTTATTCGACTAAAACTAAAATTAGGTTTTTCAATATTTTTATTCAATTCAACAACGAACACACCTAAAAGTACGAACCAATAAAGCAATGAAAGTTATAACAATAGTTATCCTGAGGATAAACTTATTGATACAAAAACAAACGCGTACACAAATAACTAAAAGTTAATTTTAAATATGCCACATGGTTATACAAAAGTTTCACATATGTATTATTTTTTACAGTATCTCAGTGCCGCTCTACACGGCTCTCTTTATGCCGTGGCGTCTTGCCTTACGACTTAGCAGGAGCTCCAGCGACAATCGGTGACGTCGATATCACAACATTGCTTCCCCAAATAGAGTACCTTGTCAGTACGAACTGCAGTCAAAGAATGAGACATTTTGCTTGCGCCCTCTTAGAACCCGAGTGTTCTCCTCCTCCATACTCAGCGAGGTTGCCTTGCTACAACTTTTGCAAAGGTCAGTATTTTTAGCAAAAAAAGGGGTGTTATAAGTTTGACGTTGATGTCTGTCTGTGTGTATGTGTGTGTCTGTCTGTCTGTGGCATCGTAGCTCTCAAACGGATGGACCGATTTCTATGCGGGTATTTTCATTTGAAAGCCAGTGTCCTTACGTTGTTCTTAGCTATGTTTGGTTAATATCGGTCAAGCAGTGTAAGAGTATCAGCTTTTTTCCAAAATTATGTAAGGCATTATTATAAGTGTATTAAAGTATGCATTCGAAATAAGTGTTAATTTGAATTCATTTAAAATAGTGTAAGACGTTGATATGATAAATAATATCAGGACTATTATTTAATTTACCGACTTGAAAAAAATAAATTATTTAATTCGGGTGTATAATTTGTTTGTGTATGTGTAACACGATTTCCGCGCCAAATGTCAACCCATTTAATGTTTTTTTCATGAAGATTACCATAAGGATGGACCCATATAAATCTCAATGAAACATTCCACATCATGGAATATTTTTATAAAGGGATATTGAAGTCGCAATTTGTCTTTTCAGTTAAATAGAATTTACATAATATTTAGTCAAACTACAAACATGAGTAAATAATTACAGTTTTCGTTAAATACAGAATATCTGAGAAGTAAAAATTGAAAACCTATGTAAAATAATAAATATTATTCGTTTTAGCTATCATGGACAGCTGCGAAGGTATGATACCCGCAGAGTTGCAAGCTATGTTCAGATGCAACCAGTACTCCAGTAGCAACTGCGCCAACGCGCGCGGCCCTTGCTTCTCTCGGGAGCTGGCGTGTGGGGACGGCTCTTGTGTCCCCCGGGATTGGGTCTGCGACGGTACCCGGGATTGTCCGGCTGGTGAAGACGAAGCACCTTGTGCTAGCTGTGAGGACAATGAATATAGGTAGATACTTTATAATAATTCCCAACTTTAATCAGTATCATATAGTGATCTCTAATTTGAAACAATTTCTTGAAATAAGAACAATATTAGATGATTTATAGATGATGTTTAAATATATACAATCTTCATTATTTAATAAGTTGCCTATCAAAGTCACTATTTCGGCCGCTAAATTCATCCATTTGTAAAAAAATATGTAATGAAACCTTACCTTAAAATTTGCAGGTGTAATTCTGGCTTGTGCATTACGAAGCGCTGGCTTTGCGATGGATATTCTGATTGTCCTGATGGTGACGACGAACATCAGGACCTTTGTCAAAGGACTAACTTTAGAGGAGCCATCACAGATGAAGCAGAAGTTGGGGAGCCTGGAGAAGAACTAGCAGGATCTGCGCCTGAGCCTTCGGTTCGCAAGCCTAATAGAATACCGACACGAGATAGAAGTCAAGGCATACGTAATGGTACTTTATATCCTCATTTATTGCTTACGTGCTCTCTATTTTTGATTATTTTTCCCAAAAGAGCTTAATATATTTACGTTATCAAACAATCTTTGTGTTTTTTTTTTATTTTACGCGATGTTGGTGAAGTAAAATGTTCTCAACTGGCTTTCAGGCCGTTACCTAGAAAATTTTATTTGTATGTATTCATACTCTATGTTTCTACTAAATACGGCTCTATTTAATTTGGTATTTGTATTAAATAATGACGAACGTATATTCAAAATAACATAAAAATAAATAAGTGCTTAGATTTTATTACAATTTGGCCGCATTTTCCATTTTAAATGAAACTATCTTTTCAGATGTTATATTTTAAAATCTGAATAAAGGCTAGCTTTATTCTCTCTCTACCCATAGTTGATATTACAAACATCTAAATATTCTTTTCCAGGTGAAAATGATAGCAGTAAAGAACTATTGATGACAAGTGACAGCAATAATGCATTTAGGCGTAACTTCACACGGCGTCCACCATTATCACGCTTGACACCGTACAAACGACCCTTACCATTAGAGAACACACCACAGCCTGAAACAGAGGAAGAAAAAGAGAAAACACCAAGTCCCGCGAAAAAAAATACTCCTGGAAACAAAAACACTACTAATTCAAGAATAAAAAATGAAAATAACGGCCAAAAACATGAAATTAAAGAAGATTCTGCTGAAGATATTAGTACAGATGATATAGGACTTTTCGATGATATCAAGAAAGAGAAAACTGATAATAAAGAAAACGTTGCTCAAAAACCAAAACAACTAAGAACAATAATTAGAAAAATACCTGAAATTGTACCTAGTAGTGAAGCAACACGCTTAGAGAAGTCTATAAATAAATTTGAAAGAGTCATAGACGGAGCCGCTATGCTAAGGGTAACATTATTATTTTGTTCATTTAAAAATAATTTAAAATTTGGATACTAACATTTATAAATTATGTATTCAATCCTTAAAAAAATAATGAATGAAAAATTCATTTGTAAGCACCAGTAATAGACATAAACATTCATAACAAAACAATAACATTACAAAACTAGTTTTAAAAATTTTAAAACCCCAAATCGATAATATTTATTGAGATCACTTCAATAATCCTAAACATGATATCTCTGCAGTATTTTATTTAATAAAGAGTTGAATATCTTGCGGATTCCAGGTAACCCTGCAGCATCCGGCCTAGGTTACCACATTATTGCAATGTGATTAATCATATCACAGTTGCTTCAAAGCACTGGGATATCAAGTTTCGAATCGATTAGATCTTTGGAAGTTGTTCATATCCTATTACCGTCTAAAAAAGAGCTGATAGTCTGCAAACGGCCGAACGGATTCTCTTGATTTATACCTAAGAAGACTCTCGATCAAGCGACCTTTCAAACAAAACAAAACTAAATTAAAATCGGTTCACCCCCTAGGGCGCTACGATGCCATAGACAGAAGATACATAGATACACAAACACACAGATTTAAGTTAAAATTGTAGCTCCCCTCTTTTTTCGTCGGGAATTAAAAATAAAGTACAACGTAGTAGCTGTTTTCAGAACTAATAAATGCAGTTACTTGAAACTATAGTTCTTTGTTTTAAAATGAAAAATACACATAATATAAGCCTTATGCCACTGCAAACTTCTTGGAACTAACCGATAGACTGTGTTAAAACAAAAACAAAAAAATAACCAACCGCAAAATTCCAGAGCGCAACACGTGAACAATCACCATACAACTCAGAAGAGAACACAAACGGCACAAACACTGAGGACTCGTACGCGTACAGCGCGCACGCGTCGCCATGTCCCAGTAACGAGCTGCGCTGCGTAGACGGGCGCTGCATCACGTTGGCGCAGTTGTGTGATGGGACCATAGACTGTACTGATCATGCTGATGAGGATAACTGCTACACGTGATGAGGTTAGTTCGTAGTAGGTACCCGGTAGTAATAGCACAGTCTACTCATCCATACAGTCGTCTAACGAAGCTCGGATCGGGGGAGACTCGAGTGAGGCGCATCCAACTGTAATATGTTCTTTTATATGATAATCCGAAAACGGTTTTAGCGTTGGGTATAATTTGTGTAAATTGCTACGGGATGGCACTATAACGTAAAATTAGTATTTTAAACATTTGGCAAAATTTCCTTAAAAATGTATGGGCGACCGCCTACTGTATGGATTTTTATACTGTGGTAATAGTATGGTACTGTAGACTCATTTTTCACAAATTATTCTTACTTCAAAGTAATAAAGTCGAATTAAGCTCGTACAGCGCTAATATAAAATCTTGGTATCGCGGTGGGGTTTTTTGATGCACTTGTGTTTTAATCGTAAGGATGGAGTGGGCCTTCTGTACCAAATTGTTAAGTATTGTGTGTTATTACACATCAGGTTTTAGATACAAATATTTGGCTATGAAAGAGAGAGACGGCGCTCTATAAAACCCAAAACAAGCCGACCATCTCTTTCTAAAGCTCGATGGGTGTTATTTACTGCCGAGTACTTTGTAGATGTATTCTTCTTCTTTAGAAAAGGAGATAAAAGAGTTCTGGTGAGAACTTCTTATGTTAATGCAAACTGTTTGTTATAGATTGATTCATATTTTAGAATTGTATAAAAAAAATGTTATTATTAAATAACGATATTGCAATTAGGATTCTGTTAAAGCTTTTGACTACTTAGTACCTTGTAACAGGCATTACTATGTTTTTATACGTTATTTATAGAGTAGTACATTTAAACTTTTTTATAAAACAGCGAGTTTCGATGAGAACAACTGAGAAAACAAAATATATCTCTACTCAGTATGTATATGTATTAATTAATATACACGTATTTTAGTGCATATATTACCTGCTATATTTTGCTTCGCGCTCTTCCATACCACTTTTAGTTTATCACATAAGTGTATTTTGGCTTCAGCTATTATAATATACAGTTAAGTTACAAAGTACTTTAACAGTTCCATATGTAAAAAGTATACATAGTCATTTTAACCTCGACGTTGTGGGTCAATTTTGATAAAAAAATATTATTCTGTTAAGTAAATTATTATTTACATATTTTTTTTAATTTCTACATATTATAATATAAACTTCTTTTGTATTATGCTTTAAAAATTTAAGCTTCAATATAACCACTCAATTTATATGTATAAATAGGTAAATAATAGATATAAGTATAAAAAATATTCGTTTAAGCAATATTCTTAATTATACAACTGGATATTTGAATTATGAGAGAAAATAATTAAAATAATACTATAGTTTTACAATAAGGGATTGTTTATAATTGTAAGCTGTGATAGAGCAATGCATATTAATGGTAGAATAAGAATTTAATTGAGCAAGTTTCTTTATAAGGATTTCTTTTATTAAAATAATTGACATGCTAAAATAAGTACGTCTATCTTCGATTTTATCTATTATAACGCCTGCATTAAATTCATTAATCACTATATAGACGCTTTATAATCACTAAAAATTGGAGAGATATGTTCAATTCATATAGCTCTTAATGAACAATCGAAATCATTTGATTACATTTTTAATTTATTATTTTTAATGAAATGAATTAAATTATTTAATTAAGAAGTATATTTAAAAAATAATCGTAAGACACTGTTTTTGCGCCGCAAATTAAAAAAGGAGCAAATTTACAACTAAAACCTTCTTTCAATGTCAACTGTTCAATGAAGAATAAAATGTATTTTAAATACAGGTTGTAATATCCAGAATTTTATCCTTACATATACAATATATTAAAACAAAATTCTGGCGTAATCTATACAGGCGTGAATTTACTGAAAAACTAAATTTGTTTTCATTTTAAAAATTAATTCTTTAAAAGTTTAAATAACAGTCATAAGTATTTTATGAAGCTTAGATTATTTATATAAATAATCTAAGGTATGAAGTTTTTATTGTGGCTTTAGATTTTGTTAAAACTGCCCCGTAGAAATCCTGTTGAGCTTTTTTTGCTTAGGTACTAGCCATCTACGTGGTATTGAAAAATTTGATCTATATATTTTTCTCATTTTATTTTTAAAACTTACAATAATTAGTATTATTATACATGTAAGAGTTAAAGCTTTTCTAAATTTTCATTTCAATTTATTATTAGACTTTAGATAAGATTTGTAATGTAAATACTGTTATTATTATTTATTTATTGCTTGTAAATTGGCCATTGTTTACTTTTTTGTACTTGAAAAATCGGAGAAAACAAAAGTCAATTTACGCGGTCTTTTCATATTTTTCTAAATATTATTTAATAGATTTTTTATATCCATAGAATCCAAAGTAATGTCATAATATTCCATAGATAAGAAAAAAGAATTGTGTAGAGTACTTCTAGGTGCTTAAAAGTAAGAAGTAGCTTAATTATTTTAAGTATATTTAGATAAGTAATATTCTTTTGTAATTTTTTATATTATAATAAATATTATGCCATGTTTTTGTGTCGTTTTTTACTATTTTATATTTCAGTTATGGCTGGAGAAATGATATGATAGAATGATGATTATTCAAATAATATGAATATATACTTAATGACTGAAATATTTTCAACGAATATTTAAAAATGTTGGGATATTAACACACAGCGCCATCTAGTTCCATGGTAAGCTACGAGGCTTGTGTTATGGATACCAGATAGTTGATACACTACACATATATAACTTTAAATACACACATATTATAAATATTGGTTATTTAAGTACAAGAACACTTATATCAAGTAAGATCACTGTTTTTTCTCTTCCGTGACTTAATATTACACAACTTTGTGTAATCCTTAAGATAATTTCCTTAAGACACTTTTTAGTGCAGTTTCATTAAAAGTTAGATTTTTTTCTTGGCTAAGGTTTCTGCAGTATTCTATTAACTAGAATTATCATTGAAACAAATCTATCCCACGGGAACCGTACATTTTTTCGGGATAAAAAGTAGCCTACTTATTATTAGCTTAATACACAAAATCTAATCAGTAGTTTTTGTGTACTAAGCTGTATAAGTTACTATAGTTTTTTATTTATCCCACGGGAATTCTTTAATTTTCCATCATGAAAATTATCTAAAATGTTGACCGTGGATATAAGGTACCACCATGCAAAATTTCATTTAAATCGGTCCAACAGTTTCGGAGATTAGCCCGTACAAACAGACAAACAGGCGGAGAAACAAAAAAATTGAAAAAATCTGGATTTGTTTTATTTCTCTTCTTACATCCCCCTGACTCGGTTTTCACATTTCATGACTTGACATTCGACCTCTACAGTTTTATTATATGTATAGACGTAGGTAAAATCTTTTGCTTTGCCCGTAGTTATTACAGATTTGACAATTAGTTATTTGCTTATGTCATCAATGCTAATATAACTGTGCGAATATATTGCTACGATTGAAACGAACAGCGAGACATACATTGACATAGCTATGTATGTTTTACACCCTTACACTAGTGGTTCCCATAAGGCTTCAGTATAGTACAAAAAGTTATAGAAAAGCCAAGCTTATTTAAGGTCTTTCTAGATCATTCAACACCACATTTTAATATTTTTTTGTAAATATAGTCAAAAAGTTTTAAACGGAAACAAAAAATATAATATGTATGTATATACATATTATATTGTTCATCGAAATAGCATACAATTAATTATTCAATATTATCGCATTAGTATAAATACTATTACATATTATGTTCCAGATATTATATTAAACCAGCAGTACCCGCGGCTTCGCCCGCGTCCAAACTTCCGATCGCTAACCAAATTCACAGGATCACCCACTGGGCTAATCTGAAGATTACCTAAAAATTTCATCAAAACCGCTCCAGCTGTTTTGGAGTCTCTAGGAAACACACAGACACACATCGATTTTTATTTTATTTAATCAACAATTTAAATTTGAAAAGTGGAGTCTTTTGTGAAAATTTAGTGAAGCACTGACTGCAGCGCCGCCTATCGGATCTATTTGTAAATTCAAACCTTGCAGGGAAACTCGAACATACCTAAAAAGTATCATTAAAATCGTCCCTGCCGCTTAGGAGATGATCAGTGGTACACCGACTGCAACGCCACTTACGGGGTCCGATTGTGTTTTCAAACCATCCAGGAGCCCATTGAATTAAACACACAAAATTTCATCCAAATCGGTCCAGTCCTTTAAGAAGAGTAGGTTAACAAACACACGTACAGAAGAATTATATATATTAAGATAACAAATAACTTGCATAAATCATTTAATAGTTACTTCGGAGCTATTAGTAGTAAAGTTCTCACAGATAGAAAAGGAGATACAAAATATCACCTGCTTATTCCGAAACTGTGTTTATTCATCTAGTGAATCACGATTTCGTTGAATCTGAAAATATTTACAGTAAGTATAATTAAATTCGTATTTCCTTAGCATTCTAAATCTAATCGTTAAAGCATGTCGCCGTTTACGGTCTGTGATCTGAATTAGAAATGATGACTCATATTTATATTTGTCAGAATTATACGATAGGTTTTTAATACCTTTAGCGAGCTTTATGCGACCACGACAGCCAAAAATCCTCTTTAAGCTTAAAAAATATAGCTTATTTCACAACATTTGATATAAACATCAATGACCTTATACAGTTAGGATTGACAGGTTTTATGAGTAGGTATAAACTTTTTCATTCACAGAATCAAGTGATTACCTCATCTTTATTGCTGCTTTTGCGCAAGTCAAATTCGCTTGGATCGCAAGTCGATCTCCTTGTTTTTGTTATTCTGGCCAATTCGTACTTGTTTTGAGGTCATATCGTTTCCTGTACCTGAATGCACACACATTGCAAAGTTTTGGATTTTTATCATCAATACATACAGATAAATAAAGAGTATATTTGTAATGTCAAGCTTAACAGCTTTTTACTACATGCATATG